TTTAAAAATGTAAAAATATAAGTTAGTTAGTCCTGAACTCTTGAACAAGCAACAACTAAAATATTATAATAAAGCGCTAAATAAATTTTTGTATCTAAATAAATTCTTTGATTTCACACACTTCCAGAAGAGCTACAAATGTTCTAATTCTCGTCGTTAAGTATTTCAAATAAAACTCTAATCTACTCAAGAAGTTATTAAAAATTGGTTACATTTAATCATTAATTAGTAAATTCATTACTAACGTCTCTTCAATATATACATGTATATATTATTGAACCGGCTACTAAATAAATTTTAAAATCCCAAAAGAGCATTTAGAATACATCATTAGCCATACAAGATGTTTCGGAAGCCATTCGACGACACTTCAAAAATAATTTTATTCAAGTTTATTCTTGGAACTAGTCGTGTATGGTATTATGTAGTTTATTACATATAAAGTTTAGTTTTATTAAAGTCGTCAAAAAAAAATCCATTAACTATTTACAATAACTATTCAGCATCATTCGCAACTTTACTTCCAAAATCAGTCCCGAATTTTTGGTTGATGAAAAATGTTACACTTATCAGATAATTATAAAGAAATGTCTCTGCCGATCGTCTCAGAAAACTTATCAGAGAGTTCTATCAAATGGTTTTTGAATTTTTAAAATCGGTTCAGCCGTTTTTAAGAAAACATCGACAGAAACTAAAATTTCGGCTTCGACACACACATACGTGAGTTATAGCAATTTGGGTCTCATCCTATTCATAACGACTTGAAATTTCAAAATAAATTTGACGATTTGAATTTTCTAAGTAAATCATAAACTTCTCCTTCAGGAAATTCAGAATCATAATAGTTCCAAATTTTCGACTAAAACGTCGATGTAAAATGTTGCACTTATCAGATAATTATGAAGAAACGTCTCTGCCGATCAGCACAGAAAACTTATCACAGAGCCGAATCGAATGGTTTTTAAATTTTTAAAATCGGTTCAGCCGTTTTTGAGAAAACGTCGACAGAAAGTTAAATTTAATATCGGCTTGAAAACACACATACGTGAGTTAAAGCAATTTGGGTCTCATAACGAGTCGAAACTTCAAAATAAATTTGACTATTTGAATTTTCTAGCTAAATTATGAACTTTATCAACTAAAACGTTGATGGAAAATGTCGCAGTTATCAGCTAATTATGAAGAAATGCCTCTGCCGATCGTCCCAGAAAACTTATCAGAGAGTTCTATCGAACGGTTTTTAAATTTTTAAAATCGGATTAGCCGTTTTCAAGAAAACGTCGATAGAAAGTGAAATTTCGGCTTAGGAACACACATACGTGAGTTATAGCAATTTGGGTCTCATTCTATTCATAAGAACTATCAATATATTATTTATCAGATTAATTTATATGTACGTTTGAAAGTGTTTGTGTATGTGAGCGAGTGAATGACATATGCCATCTGATTGCTATTAAAAAAATAAAATAAAAAAAATCTATTCAACACTAAATAAATTTCGAAATAAATTTGACAATTTGGATTTTCTAGCTAAATCATAAACTACTCCTTCGGAAAATTCAAAGTAATAATAATTTACTATATATAATAACCAAAGTCGATACTATACAATGAATTTCTCATGGTCTATATTTGGGCATGAGGTGCCGAAGGGCAATAAAATCAAATGCTTATATAAACAAATACCGAAACCAAGTATCATATAAACAATTTGAATAAACAGTTCCATATTATTATATTTATATTTTCTCACACATGAAATAATTTATAAACCGCGAACAGATGTTGAATGTTTACATTATAACATATACACATAGATGTATCATTCGATTTTATATAAACATGATTCATTTTGTTTGCATTATACAATGATACACATTGTTAGATTAAAATGACGATGATGATATTATTATATTAGGATTTGAAATTAATAAATTGTATACAAACATACATACAAATAGGGCTTTCAATACCGTACTAAAATCTGAATACCGGTATTCGATATTTGAAATTTGTAATACCGGGATCCCGGTATTAATACCGGTATTATCAATAAAAATTTATATTTTCAGTCATATTTTTAGTTACTGCAGTTCTTATATTGACATATTAACATTATTATTGTTTTAAAATGAGTACATATTAATTATTTTATCACATAGAGTAGATGAATACAAAGAAAACGTGCAAGTAAACAATTATGTATTAACTTATATGTTACACTTTACATATAATAGGTTCGTATGGAATTACATACTTAATAACTTATACTTTGTTTATTAAAATATGTTTCTAAAAACTATAAACAATCAATTGCTTAATCTTTGAGGGCCGAATTTTAGTACAAATATAACAAGCCGAAAACCCTTTCATCATGCTACACTTGTCGGCACAATTGTCATAAAGAAATAATACGAGTACATGATTAGTCGATATGAATTAGTACTTAGTATAGTGTATTTAGTTTATAAACAAATCATAAATAGACATCAACACTTCACAAAGGCTTATAGAAAATTATTGTATTTACTGATTGCCTAATAAATGAATAAAATTATTCTATACTAGCCGGCCCGACAGACTTCGTCCTGTCAAAAAAAATTGTAATGTGGCGGTGTTTTGTGCCTACCTTTTTTCTATTCTTTGCCAAAAATTATCCTGAACAGAACCGTCACCCTGGTAATATTTCGGTGTGAATTAAAAATAATTATAAATAAAACACTATAAGCATTTAAAAGTAAGTAATTTTAATAATGTAATCATAATTCAAAAATCAGTTCAATTTTTATTGTAGTGCTTTGTGATAAACGATGTTTTTTGTTTGATTACCTACTGGCGCATAGACAAACAAATCTGATGGTTTTCCAATACGGGAACAAACTACATACAATTTTCCATGTGAGAAACATGGGTTTTCTAAATTAATACCACAAACACTTAATAATACCATAAACGCACTGGAAACGCATTGGGATGCATGGTGCGAGAACATCTTCTGCTTTATACTATCCTTTGAATATAGTTGGTCGATATTACGCAACATTATAATTGCCGATCCAACCTTTAATTGAAGATTGTGAGGTGACAATCCTAGCAAATCCAGCGAGTTTAAAAACTTCGGTGGATCGTCTTGGTTAGTTACCGAATCAACTGATTCGCCTGTAATTTGTTCTTGAATTTTGAAATTTAATTAATTTACATCAATGTTTTTGGCTGCCAATATAGCTTGATTAAGAGAAAGATATTTCTATGTTTATATAAATATATTCAAAATTAGATTATCAAAAACTACACAAAATGTCATGACATAGCATAGATCATTGTTTTTTTTACAAATTGCGTTGCCTACTCAATTAAAGAAGAAAAGGGCTGTTTTTAGGGTTTTCCCGGCAATTATTCGTTTTTTTTCTCGCCGTAACAACCATCCTTGGACTTCAACGAACATTTTAAAAACAGAATTGGCCAAATTGGTCCAGGCGTTGTTGAGTTATGCGCTTACCAACACATTTTGCGATCTATTTTTATATATAAGATGTAAACTAAAAAAATCATGCATTTGATTCATTATCACGATATCACGAAAGTGGTTTGGCTAAATTTTATTTTATGATGTGAATTCTCTATTTGTTGTATCTTGTTATTGTTTTAGCACATTTGCAATTTATTATATTTGTAACAACTCAAATTAGAACAAAAATTTTACATTTATTTGAAAAATTAACTTTTGAAAAAATGTTGATCTAGGAAAAAATGAAATTTTGTGATAAATGTAATAAACTGCAAATGTAATAAAAATATATGCTGTAAAATTTTCAAACTGATAATTTACTCTTGGAACAAGCAAACTTCTTTTTGTTTCTATAGAAATGTGGTGCTCTTCAAAAGTATTTTCTAGCTATAAGTACTTATACTACGTTTTCTAGTTAATTTTGTTAAAAGCTTGAATCATTTTTTGGGTCACACTCATAGATTTTATAATACATAATATAAAATTATAAGATCTATGGTCATACTGCATTATTTTCATTTTAGTTAATATCAAACAACTTGAATTTACGCTTAAATATATGTTTTCAACGCAAATCTAAGGGTAGAAATTTTTATTATGAAATGTTTTTTCCTATGTATTTCTTCATCAATCATGTTAATAATACTTATTAAGAATTGCTTGTCGATAAGAACAAGTCCATTATAAAAATTGCCCACCTTTGTAAATATTTAGAAATGTGTACATATATTTTCAATATTTCAAATTTTATTTATAAAAATATATTTGCAAATAGTGTAAGATTTTTATTTTATTAATGCATTTATTTTATTTATTTCCACTTACAGATTATTTACATTAAAATATCGAAAAGACGTAAAATGCTGTATCTGATTGTAATAATATTATATTTTACAAAGTTACAGGGTTAACAAGTTCCTGGGGCATCTGAAATTAATAGATCTCAATAAATAGATACCACATTTTTATACAAATATATTTTAAAAAATCATACAAAATTTCAAGTTCTATCAACTTGTTATATACATATTTACTAGCATGGTGCATTTTTATTAACATTCCAAAGAAATTTCTCGCCAGAAAATCCGATTTGCTAATTTTATGTTTTCTCGATGTGTCGAGTCACTTTGAATCGCTTAAGACAAACATTGGAAAATTTATGTGTGAGTGTATATATGAGCATATGTGGGAATGTAAGTCATTTTTTATCTTCCTTCAGAAAAACGATTTCAAAAGTTTAAAAGCCATTCGATGCCAATCATTGCTGCATTATCAGTACAGTATTCTAATTTTGGAACAATTATTTTTAAATTTGGATATTTAATTTTTAAATTTAATACTGCTAATCTTAATTGCTGATTAGCACTAACTCCTCCTGCTAAAACTAAAGTTTTTGGATTATGTTTTTTTAATGCTAATTCAATTTTATTAATCAATACTTGAATAACTGTTGTTTGAAAAGAAGTTGCAAAATTATTAAATTGTAACTTACCTTTTTCTTTATTTATCAAATTAGCACAGGCTGATTTCAAACCACTAAAACTAAAATCTAAACTATTATCATTTTTAGGTAATGGTAATTTATAAGTTGGCTTTCCCAATTTAGCACTTCGTTCAATTTCAGGACCACCCGGATATTTTAAACCTAACATTCTTGCAACTTTATCATAACATTCACCAACAGCATCATCTAATGTTTGACCAAGTATAATGAAATTTAAATGTTCATTTGCCAACATCAACTGTGTATGACCACCACTAACTAATAAACCAAGTACTGGAAATTCTCATTCATTATTAATTAAAGAAGCATACAAATGTCCATACAAATGATTACACGGAAGCAATGGCTTTTCTAAATAAGCAGCAATAGTTTCTGCTATAATTTTACCTACGTGTAAACAACTAGCCAGACCAGGAGTATTAGTATAAGCAACAAAATCAATATCCATAATTGAAATGTTAGATTTTTCAATTGCTGTTTGTAAGACGGTAGCAATATTTTCACTATGAGCTCGTGCTGCTAATTCTGGAACAACACCACCATATTGTTGATGAAGCTTAATTTGTGAAGCAATAATATTACTTAAAACCTTTTTATCTTTAATAACAGCAACACTAGTTTCATCACAACTAGTTTCTATCGCTAAGATTATCATCAATATCCTCTTCTTTATAATAAGCAACTGCTGATTCTAAAGCTAAAATCATCATTTTTTTAAAACTAGTTTCGCGTAATGCTGCTGAAATTGATTCACCGGTAATAAAAGAATCAGAAATTGTTAATAAACAATCCGCATTTTTTTCTAAATGTTTTGCATTAGCAAATAAGGCAAAAGATTCCATTTCTACTGCTAAGCATTTACTAATTAAAGGATTAGTTTTATAATCATTATCATTAATACGATAAAATACATCACTTGAATGAATTAAACCCGATCTTAAATTTATTTTTTCACTTACTATATACGAAGAATTTTCATTTTTTTGCTGATCAAATTCATTATCAATTTTTTGTGCCACTTTATTAATAATTTTGCTAATATTACCAACAGATTCAATTTGATTTTCATCAATATTAGCAGCATATTTAGCGAAAGTAGATTCACTATATACTTTAGTAGTATTAATAATATCATAAACTTTAACATCTTTTTGATATGAACCAGCGCTACCAACACGAATAATACAGTCAACATCATAAAATTTAAATAACTCATATGAATATATACCAATTGAAGGCATACCCATACCACTAGCAGCAATAGTAATATTATGTCCTTTATATTTTCCAGTAAACATTAACATATTACGAACATTATTTACTTGCTTTCAATCTTGTAAAAAATTAGAAGCAATAAATTGAGCACGTAATGGATCACCTGGCATAATTACTACTTTTGCAATTTGATCACGAGCAGCTTTGATATGAGCTGTTGGAATTTTTTCTTTATTTTCCATATATTCTCCTTTTTTTAAATAATAATAGTTATTATAATATATTGTTAATTTAGTAACAACATTAATATTTTTAATGACTAGTTTTTTATTTTAAAAATTAAATTTAATTTTATAACTTTTCATACTAATTAAAGAAAATAAAAAATATTCTAAAAAAAATTTAATCAACACCTTTTTTAGTTTTTTAGTATAATTTATTAAATTAAGTAACGTTTTTCTTTTATTGTTTGTTTTTATAATTTTTTATGTTAAGATTTGTTTGTTATTAAAATATATAAAATTAGTTTTTAAAACTAGAATGTTGGAGTTTTATATATGCAACAAGATTTTTATATTAAAAAAGTTTTTTATGCTTGTTATATAAAAAATATAGTATTACCTATTTCATTTTTAACTAATATTTGGAATAAAAAAGGTAAATGTTATGTTGGTAATAAGCAAAAATTGAGAAATAGTACTGTTCGTACTAAAACTAATTTAATTCAAAAAGCATTACATAATTTTTATAATAGCAAAATGTTAAGTTTTGTTACTTTAACTTATAAAGATAATATGCAAGATGTTAAAAAAGCAAAAAAAGATATTGGTTTATTTTTTATTAAATTACAAAAGTGATGAAATGACCCTAAACGTTTTTCGCATTTAGGAGAATTAAAATATTTTTATGTTTATGAGTATCAATCTCGTGGTGCTATACATTTTCATATAATTTTTAATAGAAAGATATATAAAAGTATGTTAGCAGAATGATGAACTCATGGTTTTAATGATTTGAGAGTAGTTAAAAAAGGTACTAATGAATTTGTTATTAAATATTTAGGAAAATATGTTACAAAAGCAATAAATGATGTTAAGTCTTTAAATCAAGCAGATGTAGGTGTAAAGGCTTATGCTTTTAGTCGTAATTGTAAAAATCCTATTGTAGTTCGTGGTATTAAAAAATTGACAATTGGAGATATAATTAAAGCAAGTTTTAATGCAACAAATGTATTTTATTTTAAAACTCAAAGAGATAGTAACGGTAATACTATTATGATTGGTGATATTATTGAAAGTACTGTTGTTAATGATTATTTTAAAGAGTATGAAGATTATGAACGATATGTATATTTAAGTGCATTATCCTATAAGTATTATTTACGGACTAGTGAAATAGGTTATTTAATTCAAAGAGATAAAGATGTTTTATCTTGGGCAGAAAAAGTTTTTGGTAATAAAGTTGAAAAAATTGATTTTAAGAAAAGAATTTTACATTAGAAAAAAAACTTAATTTTTCTATAATTTTACTTGTATATATATATATATATATATATATATATATATAATGGTTAATGGCACTAATAATTACCAACATTCTTATTAGTGCTTTTTTTTATTTTATTTTTATTTTTTTATGTTATACTTAAATTGTAAGTATATGTTTTACCCTACTATACTTAACTTATTAGATTTTTAATTTAATGAATGTTGGAGGTTAAGTATTTTTTTATGTTTAAAGTACAGTTAGTTAATATTGAAAAGGGTCGTGTTATTCCCGATAAAAATAATAAAGGTCAAACATTAAAGTTTGATGTTTTGAAGTTTGTAGAAATAAATAAACAAACAAGTGTGCCAACTGGTCAAACACGTGATAAATGATATAATCCGGAATTTGCTAGTGATTTTAATAATTGTTTATCTGTTGTTGATTTAAAAGTTGGTAATTTTTATTCACTTGAACTTGATTTAAGCGGTAATATTAAAAAACTTTCTAATTGAACAATAGTTATTTATTAAAAGGGTAATTTTAAATAATTATTAATATGTTAGGAGTTAATTAAATTATGGCTAAAAATGATAATTGTTCATGTGAGCAAGCATTTCATTTAGCAATTTATATGTGTAAACTTTGTGACCAAGTTATTTGTCCTAAAAGAGTTTTACAAAATTTATATACTAAAAAATATTATTGTCCAAATTGTATATTAAATATTGCTTTAAATAAGGCAATGAGACAGCAAAAAAGTAAGTAAAATTATGAGACATAAATGTAGTGATTGGACTTATGAAAAAGTATATGGTTGTGAAATGTGTTACAGAGTTGCTAATGAAATGGAACGAATAAGAAAAGAGAATAAAAGAAAAAAGTAAAAATTAAATAAGGGGCTTATATATGGATTATATATTTTTCATTAAGCCCCAATGGATTAGATTATAATTCATATACAAGCTCCTTATTAGTATATAAAGTAAGGAGTTTTATTTATGCCTTTGGAATTAGAGCAAACTAGTAATTATACTTTGACTAAAATATTAAGAACTGGATTAAGTCCTTTAAGTGCTATGGTTGGTGTAAGTGCTTATTATGGTCAGTATTTAAAAGACCCAGTATTAGGTTCTATTAATTCTTTGTTATTTAGTAAAAAGTTAGGAATTGATATATGGAATATTAATCAAAGTCCTACTACTAAAAATAAAGTTATTAATAGTTATAAAAAGATATTTTTAGGTTTAGGAACTATTGGTTTAATAAATTATGCTAAGTTTGTTCAATATGTAGATAAGTCAGTTTCTTTATTAAGAGATGAACCGTGTTTTTGACCACCTTGTCCTACTGAACCACCAAGGCCAACATATCCGCCATTTACAACCGTTAAACCGATAATTGATAAGCCTTTTGTAGATTGAGATACTTATATATCTTTAAATAGTTTTGGTATAGCAAATGTTATTAGTTGTTTAACTGAGTTAATACCTAATAGGTTTCAAAATATAAGAAAGATAGCAAATATGGGTATTGGTGGATGTTTGATTAGTAGTGGTGTTGCTATGGGTATTAATAATAATTAACTTCCCGTAGGGTAAGTTATTGTAATGGGCCGAAAATCGGAATTGAAAATTTTTACATTTCTCGACGTTTTGAAGGTTTCTGAACGTTTTGGCATACCTCAGAAAAAATGGATGTGTGTGTGTGTGTGTGTATGTATGTATGGATACAAATTTCCAGTCACGTTTTAGGGCGCACGGATCAACCGATTTGAATGGTTCAAAAAACATTCGATTCCTATTGATTGGGAAAAGAGCTGATTAGTTTTTGGCAAAGGCAGGTCCAGCCGTTTCGGAGATACGGAGCAAAGAGTGCAGAAAATAGAAATCGAATTTTTGAGCGAACGGAGTATCCGATTTGAATGATCTAAAAAACATTCAATTAGTAATGATTGGGAGTAGTGTTTATTAGTTTTTGGCAAAGGCAGGCCCAGCCATTTGGAAGATACGGAGCTAAATATGTAAAAAATGGCAGTTTTTGAGAGAACTAAGCGTCCGATTTAAATGATTCAAAGAACTTTCTGCTTGTCCTAACAAAATAATTGATATTGAATTTTTTTTTTTTTTTTTTTTTTTTTTTTTTGTTTTTTTCAGATTTTATTTTTAATTCTGACTATAGTTCTAATATACTTTAGAAATAATTTCAACTCTGCAATTCCGTTTATATAATTCTTATAAATATTAGACAATGTTACAATATTTATAATAATCTATTTGAAAACATTCAATATTCCTCGAACATTTCGTTACGGTGCGGGAAGTTCCAGCAATTTGCCTCAAGGCACGATGCCATAATTGCCTCAAGACAGAATTCCACTTACAGCTAGTTTTAATAATTATTTTGCTATTCCTACGATTATTGCAGGAGCAAGCGAGATTATAAATCAGTTATTATTGCCTTTTGGAAATACTAATAATGTTGTTCAAATGCAAGAAGTATTTACTGATGAAAGAGCAAGATTAATTAATGCTAATGTTAGTGATTATCAAAGTACAAATGACAGTATGGCTGATGTTAATTTAAATGATGATAGTATGTCTGAGATTAATTTAGATAGAGCAAGTTTAAATTGAGATTATTCTTATGCTTATACGTTAGCTGGTGTTTAAAATGGATTTTAAGGAGATAATAAAATATGCTTTATATATTGGTGGGTTTTGCCTTATACTTTGATTTTGTCGTAATTGAATACATGAGGGTATACAGAAATTCAAACATAAAAAACATGTAAAGGAGAATGATAGTGAGCCTGATTGTATTTTTTGTCGTAAAGATTTTGAAAAAAAGAAACGTAAATTAGAAATGGAAAAACAACAAAAAGAATTAGAGAAAGGGGGTGATTAATATACCTGTTGGATCAAAAATGCCAGAAGGTTGAGTATTTACAACTGGCGATGGTGGTACACTTACAAATTGACCGGTGTTAATTTCAATTGTATTTATGGTATTAGTGTTTATCAAACAATTTGTGGGACATATTATTCATGGAACACATTAGTAATTAGAAAGGAGTAAGTAAATGATAAAGTTATTTTTTAGTTTGGTTTTTGTTTTACCTTTATTAGGTAGACTTTTACAAGTTGTTAATACTTTGGTACAAACTATTTATATGCAGTATTTAAGTTCTTTTGCTGGATTACATACTGTGACACTTTTTATTAAGTCGTTCTTTTATGATAGTTTAGACACTTTACCTTTGCCTATTCTTGCTTTAATAAATGTTAGTCTTGTATTTTATTTAATTTTGGGATTATTTAGATTTACAAGACATTAGGATGTGAAATTATGTTTATACCTTTTATTACAACAGTTATGCATTTATTTGCTTCAATTTTTATGAAGTTTTTTAGTTTTCCACTTGGTGATTTAGGTTTTAATTTAGATACATTAATGATATTTTTAATTTTGCTTAGATTTGCATTTAGAGTTATTTTACCCGAATTAATGTTGCCAACATTAGGTTTAGGTTATGCCGTTAAAAAAATTGCTAAGGCTTCTGTTTCAGTTGGTAAAGAAATTGCTAAGAGTCATAAGCAAACAC